GCCGGAGGCGCTGATCCCCGTCCAGCTCCTCTGGGTCAACCTGGTGACCGACGGGCTCCCGGCCACCGCCCTGGGCTTCAACCCCCCCGACCTGGACATCATGGACAAGCCACCGCGCAGCCCCAAGGAGCCCCTCATCTCCGGGTGGCTCTTCTTCCGCTACTTGGCCATCGGGGGTGAGTTGGTGGGGTGGGGTCAGAAGGAGGTGGGGGACCTCCCCGGGTGGTCAACTTGGAGGGGGGGGAAGGTTGGAGAAGGTTGTGGTGGTGGCAACTTGGAGAACATCATGGTGGTGGCACCTAAAGAACCTCATGGTGGTGGTATCTTGGAGAACATCATGGTGGTATCTTGGAGAACATCATGGTGGAGCCACCTTGACAGGCTCATGATGTTCTCCTGGAGAACCTCATGGTGATATCTTGGAGAACCTCATGGTGGTGGCACCTTGAGAAGCTCATGGTGTTCTCCTGGAGAACCTCATGGTGGTGGTATCTTGGAGAACATCATGGTGGTGGCAGCTTGAGAACCTCATGGTGATACCACTTTGGAGAACCTCATGGTGGTGGCACCTTGAGAAGCTCATGGTGTTCTCCTGGAGACCCTCATGGTGGCTCCTTGGGTGGGGTTGGAGAAGGTGAGGGTGGAGGCACCTTGGAGCCCCTCATCTCCGGCTGGCTCTTCTTCCGCTACTTGGCCATCGGGGGTGAGGAGGAACCACGGTGGTGGTTGGTGGTTGGTGGTGGGGTGGGGTCAGGAGGAGGTGGGGGACCACCTTGGAGAACATCGTGGTGGTATCTTGGAGAACCTCATGGTGGTGGCACCTAAAGAACCTCATGGTGGTGGCACCTTGAGAACATCATGGTGGAGCCACCTTAAGAACCTCATGGTGGTATCTTGGAGAACATCATGGTCGTATCTTGGAGAACATCATGGTGTCACCTTGAGAACATCATGGTGGAGCCACCTTGAGAAGCTCATGATGTTCTCCTGGAGAACCTCATGGTGGTATCTTGGAGAACATCATGGTGATACCACTTTGGAGAACCTCATGGTGGTGGCACCTTGAGAACCTCATGATGGTATCTTGGAGAACATCATGGTGTTCTCCTGGAGAACATCATGGTGGAGCCACCTTGAGAAGCTCATGGTGTTCTCCTGGAGAACCTCATGGTGATACCACCTTGGAGAACATCATGGTGGTGGCACCTTGAGAAACCTCATGGTGGTATCTTGGAGAACATTGTGATGGAGCCACCTTGAGAAGCTCATGGTGTT